AGGGTTTAGGGTTTAGGGCACCAAGATGACTTGTTACGGGATTCAGGAAGATTGCGAAACTGAAAAGAACATAGAAAAGGAAATGGAACCTGGGGTTATATGGCACAAGTAGTTTCAATAAATGGGTGCCCTTAGGAAAAGACGCCTATATACTAGCACTGTACTCCGTATGATAGGGACTCCCAAGAGGGGCGCCCTATTTTATGGACCCCTCTGCTCTCAGCAAGATAGGGTCTCATACCATGCACCCGGATTCGCTGTCCAAGCCCCTTGCCAGAAGATGGGTCAAACCGCTCTGCGGTGCTTAGAGCTCCATGTTGCTCGGAACCACCGCAGACATACCTGGCAGGAGCAGAGCGCGCGAAATCCTTCAGTGCTCCAAAACGATGTCTTCGAAGAAGTTTACTGTTTTACGACCAGGCCCATCTAAGCCCTGCACAGGCAGCCATTCAGTACTGCCGAGGAAGCAGCAAAGCGCCGCTGGTGCATGGGCGGAAGAGCCTTTCACAGTACCAGTTTGGGGAACCCCAAAACCCTACAAGTCTGAACCCCCAAAACTACCCTCATTCCCCTCAGTTAATATCGCATGTCAATGGCAGCTTTGGTGTCTCATGGTGAGACTGCTTGCCCCAAGCAAAAAAAACTCTCCAAGCTCTGACTCAACCCTAAACCCTAGACCCAAAATCCCAAACCCTCAGCCCTGACTCGATTCTCTCTGCATCATCCATGGGCCACACACGCCCATTGAGGAGGGCGCCGGGGTTGGACCCACGGCCCGACCGTCTTCAGATCATACACCTACTGTTCGAAATAGTAATAAATAGTAACAATCATAAACAGAGGAATAACCATCACTTTCGTATTAATGGTATATAGTAGCTTCCCAAAATAGGGGAACCTCATTATAGACCCCAAAAATACTATAATCTCGGGGAAACCCTCATATATCAATAGTAATTCTAGTAGTAGGAATAAGAATATTCAGATCAACCTCCTCCCTTCTTAAGCGAGCTGCATGACTGTTTCTCCCTAAAGCTCCGCGATCATCAACGGTAGGTACGAAAACAGCTACGGGAAGTCACACTGTTTACTCCATTCTCTCCCTCTCCCTCTCTCTCTCTCTCTCTCTCTATCTCTCTCTCCTTCTTCTACCTGCTCTACGCAGTCCATCGGACTACGAGCGGGCGACGCCCACAGCACAGGGTCTCTGTACAATTCAATTGACACGGAGAAAAGCTCTCCGAGGATGCTTGTTGGATTGGCCCCCCCCCCATTCCAGCTTTTTCTTCTCCCCCCTTTTTCGCATCCTTCAGCCGAAGTTGGAATACGCTTCCATCTCTCTCTCTCTCTCTCTATCTCTCTCTCTTCCCTAAGCCTTAAATCCCTAAATCCCAGGTCCCAAATCCTAAGCCCTAAGCCCTAAACCCCGAATCCTAAACCTACTTCTTCTCTGGACTAAAACGGTTTCCTCTCTGTCGCCTTAGGCTTCTGGTTGGCTCCAACGTGCTTTAGAAAGTCACAATGGGAGCCGTCTCCAACTGGGGATTAGGGTTCAGGGTACGGGGTTTGGGATTCAGGGAGTTTAATGTTTAAGGGTTGAGGGTTTAGGTGTCAGTCTGAAAGCTACGTAGTGAGAATCACACAGCCTTTGTCTGGGTTGCTGTTACGGAACTTAAGTTAAGTTACTATCATAGTTTGAGGACACTCTAGTAGTTACTATCTATCCATATTATGGCAACTTAAACTTTAAATGAAGTTCTGTAACAGCAACCCGTTCTGCAGGGCTCCGCTCGGTTGCCTCCCACAGCCCTGTGGAAGGATCCAGACGTTCCCCAGATCGGCGCACCTGACTCGTATGCCAGTCCAGTGCCACAGCCCAATCCCCAATTCGACCACAGTACAAATCAGATTACCATGATGGGAAGATGTAGTAAATAACATGTTTTGGGTTTTAGGTTTAGGGTTT